CAACGATAAGGGATGTTTCAATATTTCGGAATTTGAATTGATGGATTGTTTAAATATTCATATAAACACAATTCTTAAGAAATATGATCTTTAAGGTCAGTTGCAAATTAGCTTGAGAATTACATGGCCCGTAATCTTTCAATTTTCGTGCAGTGTGAATGTGTGATGATGACAACATTAGAGCCCAAAATTATGGGCCGTTTTTAATATGAAGATCATACCTCACGAGCTAAACGACTTCGTTTAGGCTGATAACTCCTATGTATGTCCAAATGGTCAAATTGTTTCTTAATTTTGTTTACTGTTTAACTAGAGGTGTGAATCATGTGATTGTAGGACTAAGAGCAGTGGTTTTAGAAAGGACCCATTTACAGTTTTCACAATCTGATTGGAAAATGTAAAATTGCTTTAAAATGTAGAAAATTTCTCCAGCCTTTTGTCATCACATCAAACCACTACTTATCCTACCAAATTTTTAATACCTAATTTCACTTTTTGTATTTAGAGGCAACAAATTCAGTATATATAGAACTCGAATATATCACAGATGAAACAAAAATCAAAACAAGTTATATGATTTGGCATCTGATATAAAATACCTAAGTTTGGCTATATACATCGTGGACAGTGCATAGTAATCCAAGTGAATCAGTTATATGTTCTTGTTTATTTATGAAATTGAAATGTTTGGAATCCGTCATTACAATAAATTACCTATTTAATTGATTTGATTCCTAAAATATGCTTCCAGTATAATAGGAAAATCAGAGGGAGTAGAGGAAATGTCAAATCGAGACAATGTTATTTTGGATTCTTCTGGTTTTGTACTCCAATAAAAAACAATAGTGAATTATACTAACTTAAAAACCGAATAAAATAAGACAAACCACCCTTCTTTTTTGGTAATTTTGTTACCAATTTATGGGTTCATCTAGAAGGTCAACGAGATGTGACATAAGATTGTATGATTTAGAAGCATCTTTGTCAAATTAAATTTTAAATTGTGAAAACTGAAAAAAGAACGATTCATCTAAACGTCGTTTTATCAACTCTTGTGGACACCAAAACAAACTTTTTGAAACGTAATGGACTCCTATTAGTTGAAAATACTTGAGAAAATATAAATTTATCAATTAAGTAACGGAAACATATCACACCGATTATTATATTACAAAATGGTAATTATTTTTGTACAACAATACTAATTATTCAACATTACCACAGAAAATTAGTTGAGAAACATAAACCAAAGAACATTATTATATTACAAAGCGATTTTATAAATAATATAATAATGTTTTTTTGCTTATTTTATTACAATGGAAAATATACTAATCAAGAAACGACACGCAACTTCAACTACTAATTAAAGAGTTAAAGAAGCGGTAAGCATTTCTAAGCACCACGTGCTAAGTCCATGTAACGTTCCAAAAACCGTTCACACTCCACCGTGACTTTGCAAAGCGACTCGTGCGCGGAACCATCACCGTCGATGCTCAATGACATCTCCGCCGTGTCTCTCAACTTCTTCACTTTCATTCTCATCTCCTCACCTTCCTCCTCTGCCATAACTTTCCTCACTACCGCCTCAATTTCCGATCTTGAAATCACCTCCGCAAAAGTATCCACTCGGACGGCGATTCCAAGTTCGTCGCTTAGCAAAGCTGCGTTCATACGCTGCTCGGCAAAAAGCGGCCATGCGATCATTGGAACGCCACTAACAACGCTTTCAACCGATGAGTTCCAACCACAATGGGTTAAAAACCCACCAACGGCCCGATGGGCCAGGATTTCAGCTTGTGGTGCCCATGATTGCACCACAAGACCTCTATCACAAGTACGAGTCATAAACCCTTCCGGTAAATATGCTGGTGTACTGTCTTTCGTTTCCTTGCGGTTAACTGTGAAATACTCGCTGGAAGACGAACCGTCAACAGGGGGTCGAACCACCCATACGAACCTTTGCTCGCTCTGCTCGAGCCCCCACGCCAATTCGGTTAATTTTTTAGTTGTTAGAGAACCACCACTACCAAAAGAAACGTAGAGAACCGATTTATCTGGTTGTTCATTCAACCAATCAACAACCGGGTGATTGGTCTCCGATGACTCTACCGGTCTACATAATGGGCCAACCGGGTAAACCGGTACACGAGCGACACGGCCCAATAGCTTGGGGTCTTGAAGAGATTTCAACGATTTGGGCTCCAACTCTTCCCATGTATTAACCAAAATGCCATCAGCCTTTGGGTAAGCCAGACCGTATTGAACAAAATCCCGGTACAATGGTTCGTCCGGAACCAGGTAAGCGTCCATAGTATCTTCGTATCGAACCGGTTCACATCCCGGTATCTCAAGCGGTTTTCTTTGTAGTATGTACTCTTCCCTGATATCTTTGTCCAAGGTTGGATAATACATAGAAACGCCGAGAAAACGCGCGTTTGCAGCGATTAACACATAAGTCAACATGTTGAATTCAGGAGCGAGACATAAAGCATCCGTCCCAAACAAGTCAACGATCAGAGCCGTTGGTTTTTGATGCATCGCAGCGATCTTGGATCGGAGGAGTGGAACCGCTTCATGCATAATGGTTCCGATCTTGGTCACCACGTGGTCTGCCGGGTCCACAAGATCGGAAATGTCCGGTGACGGAAGATTGACGACGTCAACGTCGCTGGTTGAGTCTAGGAACTTGGACTGAGCGGAGGCTGCGTCGGTTTCGAGGACGAAGACGGTGACGTGGAAGCCGTGGTTAACGGAGAGACGTTTAGCGAGCTCGATCACCGGGATGACGTGGCCCATTCCGGGACTGGAAAACATAGCGGCTCGTGGTTTTGTGATATGCATTGCGACTATTTCTTCTTCAGTGAACTGTTTTAATTTAATTCAGAGAAATTGTCTTATTTTTTGTGTGTGTATGTGTTTGATGGGTGTCTCTATGATGGTTGCTATTGGGTTATTTATAGCCAATTCTGTAATAATTCGCATATAAAAAAAAATTGATAACGTACTCATCTTGTTAAAAACGATAATTGTAATTAACTTGGTTATTAAAATATGATAGTTTGTATTAGTGAGGTGTATTTTTTGTTATTATAGGAGTTCAACCGCCGGTTTAGTTGGTTTGTGTGTGAGGTGTATATATTTTAATTTTTGTATCTTTTGTATGAAACAACGGTCTTAAGGGTGCACATGGTCTTACAAAGATATTAAATGAGGATTAGTAAAATAATCAAAGATGCTTGAGCAAAATGATAAGAGGACACAGTCTGCTAAGAATGGCTGGACATTAGTTAAAACTAGATTATCGTATCTTGTTTTAATTAAGTCAACAATTAGATTATGCTACCAAAATTTTAAATTGGTCGAAGAAGTCGATATTATTTAGGTTTTTTTTTTTAATTGGTAACATTCCGAAATGTAAAATAGTTGTATGATGAAACAATGTAATGATTTATAAATATATACTTTTTTTGTACTGTGAAATTTGCAAAAAGATAACCTTATATGGTTAGTGAGCAAGTGGAATGATGATACTTAAATAGAAAAATAGTAAACCAAGGGATGGTGTAGAATGTAGATCCTTAAGATTATGCTACGCTACTTAAGATTATTTTTAGGCTTTAGTGCTAAAGATTATGCTCTATACTCTTTATACCAAAATATATCATTCTCTATACGATGTTCTTCATACTCCAATAATATGTTACATTTAGAGGTTAATTGGGAAAAAAATTCGTCGGATCGATACATATTTCAATTATAAAGATCATATATTATAAGGAAAATATCGTAATGTCAGTTGCAACAATAGACGTAAAGACAAAGCCACAAAACAGAGAATGTAACATGTGGTTGTTCTGTTATTGTTAGTATATGAAAGGGCTGATTATACTATGGAACACTTTCTTAAAATTTTATTTTAAGAGGGACACTTTTTTGTCCTAGATACACTTCATGTTGTAATTGTAAAAAATCGGATAAAAATACCTTTATTCCAATTCTAAAAACGCGGGTGGACAAATTTTCCGTGGATAAGCTGTAGATAATAATACACATAGACATAAAATGGTGGATGGGAAACCATTAACATGTAAGATGAAAATAATCGTGGACATGCAATTGTGGAAATGATAATAATTTTTTATATGGTTATAAATGAATATATAGTTATCATTCATTTTAACTACGTAATCATCTATTATACCATGTCCACGATAACTTATCAACAAATTAATAGCCATACATGTTCATATAATCAATAAATGTTTAGTATAATTGTCCACCATAATCTATCCACCTAGTCACTAACTGTGGATGCGTTATAATGGACAGAAGAAACAAAATCTTCTACAAAATCATAGTGAATCAAAGCTCGATAATCAAAATCAAACCAGAAAATGAAAGAATTGAACCCATAAAAAAAGCTTAAAACTTTTTGTAGATAAAAACCCTAACATAGCTACATGAATTGTAGATAAAAGCCCTAAATGTACAAAGCTACATGAATATAACTAAACATAACTCAATTCCTTAAAACTAACATCTTCTTCAAACACGAAGGAGGAAGACGAGAGAGTAATGATGAGTCACGAGCGAGAATCCAACGAGTCGCGACGATAAGGTAATTCACCTTGAAATACAAGCACTTCCGTTCGACTTCATCGAAGATCGATTCTGGTTTGGTTAATGCAGATCGATTCTGATAGGTGAAAACGCAAAACGCTGTAGTTGCGATTGGTGGTTGAGGTTCGATGGAGAAAAGAGCGATGAATCGAAAGGTTTGAGAACTGGAGATCGAGAAGATTGGAGGAGCCGTGTAGGCCATTGTTGTTGTAGAGTTTTTAGGTCAGAGACGAGAGGAAAAGATAGAGAGAGAATAGCGTGAGATGTTAAAGAAAGGAGTTTGAGTTTATTTAAAGGTAATTTAGACTTTTGTCTTGTAGAAAGTGTCTTGGTTACTAAGTGTATCATTGTGTGAACTGTTCACAATAAAGTGTCTATGGGTGCAACAATAGGCATAAAGACAAAGCCACATAATAGAGAATGTAACATGTGGTTGCTACTGTTATTGTTAGTATATGAAACGCTGTGCGAATACCCTGATCAAAGTAATGAATAAAATTTCTGCATCATGACATGTATGTATGTGTATGTTTGTGGCCTCTGAACTGTAGTTGAA